ATAGTACTTGAATTAAGAGTGGTCAAGGCAACTTAAGAATGTGAAGTGTTGAGAAACTAGCAATTTTCATCTAAAAATGTCGATCTTCGCATCAAAAGGCACTTTCACAACTTAAGTATAGATTTAGCTAGGTTATACGAATAAATCCCTCTTTAAGTTAAATAAGAAGATGATCATGGGTTTAGGAAGCATTTCATTGACCATGTGAGTTACTTGCTTGTGAAATTGGGTAAGGATGAGAAATTGACTTGGATTTGTACAATTACGGTTTAATTGGCTCTCCATTACTTGATATTATGAGTTCTTGAACTTACTTGAATGATTGCATAATAGTTATTTACCTGTTTTGAGGAAATGAAGTGGAATTATTCACATATGTTTATTTTCAAAATTTTGAATCATTGTTGGGTTGTATTTCTTATTGCTTGAGGACAAACAATGGGTCAAGTGTGGGGGTATTTGATAAGTATATATTTTACGTGCTTTTACTGTGTTTTATTATTTAGATTTGGTGTGTTTTAGTCATGTTTTTAGCTAATTAACTAGGATTCTAGTGAAAATATGCATTTTATGGTTTAAGTGGTGAAAATTGCATTTCTATGGATTTTAATGGTAAATTCATGTTTTTGTAGGTTTAAAGATTCAATCATCTAATGGAGTGATTTGAGAAGATAATTGGATGATTGATGATGAGTTTGAAGTGGTTTAAAGAAGATATGAAGTGCAAGAGAGGAAATGCAATCAAGAACAAAAGAAGAAAAGTTTTCCAGCTTCGACACCTTGTAGTATTTCAGCAATATATTGAGTTACATGCGTTGGATTGAGGTAATTCTTGAACCATTTTGAAGCTAAGAGATAGATCTATATTTAGTATGAAGATGTCGAAGTCCAGTTCAGTCGTTTTCATAGTCAAAAAGCCGAAATACAGAAGTGCAACTCTGTTGTCAAAAGTTGAAACAGAGCTCTGATTAGTTGATGGTATTTTGGGCATATCTCGGTCCACTGAGCTCTAAATGAGATGATTCTTAGGTAATGAAAAGCTAACGCAAAGGTCTACAACTTTTATGTTTTGAACAAGAGTTAGTTCGGCCACCTTCATTGAGAAAATATCGGTTGAAGTGGTGTTGAAGTGAAAATACGACTATCCAATACACGAGATGAAGTCGTGTATTCTCTTCTATTTTCTGCAACTTGCTCATCTACTTGCCCTACTTTCACATAACTTTTCCAGCTCAATTCTAACTATCAATTTCGGCTGTATCTAATAAAAAAAAATGTGGAAAGTTGGAAAGATAACTCATGGGAGTTTCAAGAGTAAAAAATGACAACTAGAAACAACTCATTTGGCTCTTGAATCCTCTATAAATAGCAGCCGAGAACATTTTCACAACTTTGGAAGGCTAGAGAAACTCACCATAAATGTAGCTTTCGCTAGAATTTCCTTAGTTCATTAGTTAGGATAGTATAGAGTAGTTGGTGTAGTTTTTCCTTCTTGTATTTGTAGTTAGATTTGGATGAAGATTGAGGAGCAAAGATGGAGAGGTTGATCTCATGTGACAAGGTGATATCTCTTCTACTATTTTTTCTCTTGTATTTGATTTCAAGTTTAGTTATAATACAAGTTTGGATTTGTTTTTCTTCATGTTTAGTTTAAAGTTTATGGCTAGAGTTATGAACGAACTTACTATATCTTGTTAGTGATGTTTATTTGGTTATTTGATGATATTATTTTGACCAAGTTATTTATCACTTTTGCTTATCTAATCATGATTAACCGGCCATTAATTGTGATAATCTTAAGGCGTTAAGTTTGCAATGAGAATTGGAATTTAACACTAGTTCAAGGAAGTGATAAACCTAGAGAGTACATTCACGAGAGTAGAGGTACACCTATGTGGTTTAAGTGACTCGTTTCATGTAATTTCATAGAAGAAATGAACTTGTAGTTAATTTCATAACCACGAGAGTAGGTATGGTTTAGTTACAAATATAGTCGATTCACTACGAGAGTAGATTTCACATACATTAGGAAATTACGCCATAACTAGTCAAGATAATAATATACAAGTAACCAGTAATTTCATTTGAAAGAGTAGTAAGAAATTACATACCTCTAGGAGCTTTCTAGTGTTATTTTCATTACTTTTATATTTATGGTAGTCTATAATAAAGGAATTCGAAAACCACCGGTAATTGAAAATGTTCTCTGTGGGATTGACCCTTAATACCCTATACTCGCTCTCGACTCGTATACTTGCGAAAAATCGCATGTGGGGTATTTAGGATGATATAAATGTAAAACTTGATTGTGGATGAATTAATTGTATATGTATACCCTGAGCACGTCAATCCTCAACTTCATCTATATCTAGTTACATATAAGGATATACTGCACTAATGAACTAAGAAGTTCTAATGAAAGAGAACATTTCGTGTAGTGTTTTCGAAGCCCCCAAAGTTGCAAAACAAGTTCTTCAAGGCATCTATTTATAGAAGATTAATCTCCAAACAATTATGTTTCAAGTTGTGTCAAATTACTTCTTGAAATTACCAAAAGTTGTTCTTGAAATCTCTATTATTTCTTGAGCAGTTATTGCTAAAATTCTACTCAAAAAATTGAGCTAGAAAGCTGTGAAAAAGCTGTCACTTGCACAACTGCCACCAGAATGAATGCGCTGAGGTAGGGTCACATATTGGTCCGTTATTCTCCTCTCCTGCATTTTCTTTGTCTTTTAAGGTCACATGTTCCTTTGGTCATTTCAAACCATTTTCAAATTGTGTCTAATATTTTTCTTCCATTTTACTTGATCCGAAGTGATCACAAGATACCAAAACCGACAAAAGTAACATGTTTTGCGCATTAAAGCATTCAAATGTAGGTTTTGATAATCAAATGTGACTTGAGGAAATAATTGTTTAAAAGAGCAAATTTCATGCTTAAAACTTTAAAAACACACCAAAAACTAAGAAAGAAAACACACTAGAAATATGCAAAATAAGCCCTTATCAAGGAGTACTCTAGGATTCCGTTTTCCAATTACTCTAAGGTTGAATAGTCCTTGTTGAGTTTGCAGAAATGCCATAAATTATTCTGGTGGAAGACGAAGAGTTTGGCGACAATAAATTATTCTGGTGACAATAAATTGAGTTTGGCGACAATATGAGGGAATGAATCAGAAATGCCATAAATTATTCTGGTGGAAGACGAAGAGGTGGAAGTTGAGTTTGCAGTGCTCAAGGGAAGCAAGATTAAGTTGTAATCTTGGGGTTTTGGTAGACATGTCACTTCATACTTTTCTCCCAACCCATGCAAGCCCAAATGTACCATGAACTGGCAGAATAATCAAGCGGATCCTCCAGAAATTTTTGAGCTAGTCCTTGTCTGCTTTGGATGTTGAAAGTGATATCCAAATGTGTTGGCGAGTAGTATGTGGTCCAATTAGAACCGAAAGAACAAAAAGGCAAAAGGGGTTGCACTAGAAAATTGAGCGCCCCATCATGTACTTCTGGAGACCTCGATTACCAAAAATTTGAGATAGAAAAAAAAAGGGTTAATTCCACTTTGTCCCCCCAAACTTTGGACGATTACCCACTTCAGTCCCTAAACTTCAAAATGGGACACTTAAATTCCTAAACTTATAAATACCTCCCACTTAAGTTCCTAAACTTATAAAATGGGACACTTAAATTCCTAAACTCTTATAAAATGAGACACTTTGACCACCAACGGCATTCAGGATTTGTTAACAATTTTTCTTAAGTGGGAGGTATTTATAAGTTTAGGGGCTTAAGTGTCCTATTTTGAAGTTTAGGGACTGAAGTGGGTAATCGTCCAAAGTTTGGGGGGACAAAGTGGTATTAACCCAAAAAAAATGCATTCCAAGCATTACAAACCACCCCATACTATCTAATGCATGCATAGCTCTGCCAAGATATTTGAAATTTCTAGCAATTAGGCATCAACTTTTGTAATTAAAAAAAACTCATAAAATAACAATTAAGCAATACAAGGAGACATGACTCTTCATCACCAGTAGCAGACAGTAGGATAAGAACATGTATCCTACAACAGTAGCGGATAGTAGGGTAAGGACCTACTCATTTAATGTTGAGAATTACACGACACACAAAGAAACACAAGATTTGTACACATCAACTTCAACTCCAAATTCAAGTGCAGAATGTATGCTATTTTTTCTTGAGAATAAAAACTTTATTCAGTATTTGGTTGCTCCCCTTTAATCCTCATTTGATCTATGATCGTCTTGCTTTGAAGCTTGCGAGAGAAGAAATTTTTGACATACTGTTCCATTGGCATTCTTTTGTACTGAGGTGGATTTTTTTCGTTTATCAAGGAAGTTGCTGGTCCAATTTCCACTTCCAAGTTGGGATTGAAAAACATTCCTATTGAGATTCTTTCGTTCACTGAGTTTACAGTTGCCCTATGCACAATGCTTTTGTAGATTCCATTGCTGAAGATCTGCAGATTCGCACAGCAATCAACTTAAAGGAAGAAGAGTAAAAAAGGTATCTAATTTGTACATACAAACACATATTCATAACTAAATTCGTCGGAATTAATTATTGAATCAATCAAACGGCCTTACATCTTTGTTGTTCTTAAAGAAAATAGTGCACAAATTCAAAGTTTTAGAACTTTATGTGAGATCCTTATTTTGTTGAAAGGTTAAGACATGATAATTTTCCTTAGTTTGGCATTTCATATTCTATCTTTCTTTTTTATTCTTTTAGTCATTTGACTCTATCTCAAATGGGATTAGGGGTCTTAGGAGTTGAGTTTTGTCTAATTCAAAAAATTTGTAGAATTTTTACTACTTCTAATATAAATTTATATAATTTGGATATAAATTTGAATTTGTTAACTCATACAACTAAGTTAGCGATGACATAAAAACTATATGATTTTGCATCAAATATATCAGTTTGAAAAAGACAAAACTCAACATGTGGGGCCACTTGATCCATCTCCATTGATAAATTTATCCATGTAAAGTCAGACATATGCATATTTTAGTTGCATTATACAACAAATAAGCTAGAGAGAATGTATGAACCTCCATAACATCTCCTATATGAAGCACAAAGGCATTTGGGAGGATGTTCACAGGAACCCAGACTCCATTCTTTTTCACTTGTAAGCCTTCCACCCCATTGACTTGAAGAAGAATGCTGAGTCCACTAGCATCTGAGTGAGGCCTAAGTCCCACAACCAGCTCTGGTTGGGGACATGGAGGATAGTAATTCATCCTAACTAATTGCAGCCCATCTTCAAACATGTCTTCCATTTCTCTCTTATCTATTTCCAGAGCTTGCCCAATGAGTTTAAACAAAACCTTGGCAAGCTTTTGGGTTTCTTTAAAGTAAGCCTCCATGGCTTCTCTGTAAAAGAAAAAAGGAAAGAGAAAGTCCAACATATTTATACATTTAGTTGCATACAAAAAACTATAGTTTTGAGAGGGAGAAGAGAGAAGAGAGAAGAGGACCTAAGGGATGAAGGGAGCTCTGGTAGGAGATGGGGATTTCTCTTATGGATGGGGTTGATTACCATAAGAAACCTATCACCCCAATCAATATTTTGATCTGTTAAGTTAGCAATTGTTTGGCCATAACCTTCAACATCACCAGGCCTCAGCTTGTACCTCATCTTCTCTTCTAAAGGTAGCTTGTAAAATTCTTCAATTTCGTATTTCAATTTCTCCACTACTGAAGAGCTAACTCCATGGTTCACCACCTGAGGTAGAGTAGTTGAACAAAGACATTCAGTTTTGCTAAAATCTTATATTCAACTTTACAAAGATCATAGTTCTTTTATGAGGTTTGAAGGTTGGCATTTGACAGAAAATAAATAAATAACTAAATAAGTGAATAATAGACAAAAGTAAAACAAAAAAAAAAAGAATATTTCATTACATGTGGAACTATTTTAACCCTGTTAAACAAATAACATTTAGTATGTCAAAAAGACCATATATTAAAATGAAGAAATATATTTCTGGAAACTTCAGTCCCTAAAGGGCTAGTAAAGAATTTTTGGGATATATATTAGTAGAAACCTGAAATACACCCCATTCTTTGCAAGATGAATGCAGCTTTTGTAGTTCAAAATCCTTGGCTTGGCCAAGAGTCATACTTTCCATGTCAACGATGGGAATAGCTGGCATTAGATGGCTTGGAGAAGAACATGGCGATTCTTGATCCAACTGAATGTAATGAGGTGGGACGGCAAGCAGAGGCTCTTTGCTAAGCTCCTGCAGGCTTATTGTATTATTCTCATGATCTAATGAGGACATGACTAGCTAATCTCTATGTTTTCTCAGGTGCAATTGTATTGAGCTGTGTTGATGGATATTTATAGCCCTAAACCATAAAGGATCACTACCTTGATTATTTCAACAGCAACAGCAAGAATAATGATTTATAAAAATAAATAAATAACCAAATAAAAAATATGAATTATTATTGAAGAATTGAAATTCTTCAAGGATGATCACTTGCATGATATTTACAAATCTTCAAGTGATATGCTTAATTGATTAGTGACACGTGGTGTAGACAAATATATTTAAAATGTAGAGAAGCAATTGTATATGTTACGTGTGATTTATATTTACCTAGTTGAAAATTATGAGCTGTGGTTGTTTATTTTTGCAAATTTGCACTGACTATAGGATGAGTAACAATTACTTGAGTCACAAGTACTTCATATAACTCAAAATATACACTAGCATGTTCCAATAAAATTTTGATTTCTAGTCAATGATTAAGTTTGTAGCAAGTAATTGCATTTTTATGTTTCGATACCCATACACAAATGAGCAAATAGTTGAAATTGAAGCTTAGGTACTAATACCTCACAAATATATGCCCTCGGTAAAACTGTTCAATCCCACTACCTAAAGGGGATATTAATTTTGAACCATATATGTATACATGGAAAAACGGTTTCTCTTATCTATCATATCAATTAAAACGTAGAAAATGATGCTACTCAACGGTATTCGATCTTTTATGTGTTCAACCAACTTCCAAACTATAGTAACAATAAAAGAAAAGCAGAAAAGATTCTTAAGTTCTTTATGTATTTATTTTGCGTTTGACCATGTTATATCAACTCTTTCATTGTCTCTTTCGCTTCATCTTTTACATTTAATTGCTTCTTTTGAGGGATGGGGTCCATATATTTTGAGACAAACTTAAAAAGAATATTAACCTCAATAGTTGAAATTTTGTTGGCAACATAGAGTGAGGGAATAGAGGGAAAGAGAAATGAAATGATGAGATGGAAAACCAACCATATATTGTTTTAGAAGCAATGAAATGATGAAGATTCTTATGGAGGCGGCAAGATTTGAGCAATTATTCCTTTTTTTTTTTTTTTGTCCTTGAAAAGCTGTATGTTTTTAAATATTTCTCAAAATTGATGTTAGGAGTTAGGTCCATCAATGAGTTTGGGACACTAACTAGAACAATTTTGCTTGACTAATCTTATTATCAATTGATTTGACCACGGCATGTGCGTAAATTAATAATAGGAAGGCAAGGGTGATTGACTAATGAAAGTATGCAGATAGCTATTTTCAAATAAACATGCTTGTTACAGAGCAGTTATGGATCTCATAACAAAATTAATTCATATGAATTTCTTGGACCATCCATGTGTCTTGACCTCACTTAAATATTTATTTTGTAACTAGCTATTTTGTTATTCTATTTTCTACTCAAACTTGCCTCACAATAATTTACTCTTTTAGTCAGTTCTAAAACCATTCGTTTGAATTCTCTCCTTCATATTTTTCTCCCTTAAATTGAATTGCCATTATTATATAGTCCAGAATGTGCTTTATATTACTATTTCAACAATATATATTTCACTAGCATAATTGCGTGGATTGACCTCCACCATGTCCTGCAAGCTCTAGCCTTTGACTTGAACGGGTCGTTTGGTAAAGTGACACCTGACCTAATATATATATATATATATATATATATATATGTGTGTGTGTGTGTGAAAGTTGTTATTTCAATAAAATGGTTTCTCTTTCCGACTTGGCATCACTAATTAGAGAGAATTAACGGATCATGAGTCACTTGAGTTTTACTCATATTGAATTTTTTTTTAAAATGTCTTTTTTATTTTATTAATGGAAGAGATATACAATATATTCCTTTTACAGACGTCTAATTTTCCGAACTGAAGACAAACCTAACTTGTCTAGACGAATTGCCTCACGAGCTTCCCTTGGGAACATACTAAAGCTGTCATAAACCTTGACTTGTTGGTGTGGATGAGATGTACCGACATTGGATAAAGTATCAGCAACTGTGTTAGCCTCTCGGTAGCAGTGTGATAAATGAACAGGATCTTCCAAGAGCTTCCAAATCTGCCTGACCTCCCTTCGAATTTCCCACGGACATTGAATACTACTTGGATTATATTATATGTCTAAAAATTATCTATAATTTTAAAATAACTTTCAAAAACAACTAAGCTTATTTTTATGATATTTGCTTTCTATCAAATTATTACATAGAATTGTGGTAAAATCTCCTTTAAATCACAATTATTAAAATCTTACTTATCCTATAAATTACTTCCTTTCATTATCATATGGTTGATTAGTATTTCAAATTGTTCATCATCTCTTCCCTTATTGCCCTTATCTTATAAAACTCAATTTAAAATTTCATCTATATAAACTAAATTTTTTTTATTGTTTCATTTAAATATACTTAACAACAGGCCTGTTCAGTTGAAATTTTATCTCAATGAGAAGGTGTCAGCTTTCCTTCTTTGTGTTCACTTACTGAAATTTGTGTATGTTAATTCTAGAATTTGTACATGTATATATCATTGGTGAATTGATATTTTGTAACTATTACAGTTTTGATTAAATAGCTACCATGATTTACTTTAGTATCTATTTGGTCAATTTATTTGTTATAACTCCAATATTTTGTGAAAATTTGATAATATTGTTATATATTATTTTAATGCATCCAATTTTTTCCTTATTTTAGGATAAATGTGGGGGAACATAAAGAAGTAAGCTTGAAGGAGGTTGAATTAGATTAAAAGTTTCTATTGCATTTGATAACTTTGTTTGTTTCAACATTTTGTGGTGTTCTGCAGGAAAATTTTAATTTTGTCAGTGATCATGTACTTTTGTAGTTTAAGTTCATGTTCATGGGAGGAAACTAAATAAATTGTCTCATATTATTCTATGATGTGAAAATTTATTCTTTGATTTTTCTCTTATGTCCTTTCAATTTGCAGGAGTAGGAGTGGTTTTATCGAGATCCAAAATTGCAGAGGACATAAAATTCTAAGATCACGAAGAGAATGGTGGTTTTATTGGGATCATGAATTGCAAAGACCACAAAATTCTAAGATCATGAAGTTCATCTATCTTTGGTAGAGGACATACAGTTTTAGGGATTCAAATATGTGACCTTGCGGTCTACCAAAATTGTAATTTAGGATAGATCTCATCTAATATCATTTAGGACTTTGTTTAGCATTTTTAAGATCATATGAACACTAATGTTTGTTCTTGTGCTTCCTCGTTCTTCTAACAATATCATTTTTATTCATAAGAATTAACTTAGTGCAAAAAAGAAAATTAATTGCTACACTAATAGATTTACCAATATTGTTGGAATTGAATATTTGTTGATGAAGAAAAATGGATTGCTGGATCTTTTCTACATTTAGAAAAATATTTATATAAAAAAAAATATTTCTACCAAGTTTTTGATATGAGATACATTATTATCATATTATAGTGAAAATATGTAAAGAAATTTTAAAAATTAGTAAATAATTGAACATTTAGAAAACATTAATTTTTTAAATTTAATATGAATAAACATGTAGGATCGCTGTTAATTTTGTATTTAAATTATTCATATTTGTATAAATTCACAATGAATTAAAAAAGGGCCGTGTTAAGGTATGGGCAAAATTCTAGTTCATTTTGAAGCCCAGAAATGGTAGGGCCGCGTTATAACTACACAGGCAAAATTCTAGTTCATGTTGAAGACCAGAAAAGACAGGGCTGCGTTATAACAACATTTTTATATTTGCACTTGTAAATTTCAGCTATTTGATATGTGAATTACGCAAATATTTGGGCATCATGTATAAACAAAAGTTGCCAGCCCGTCAGAGGGGTATTTATGATATACAAGATATAATCACAAGAGAGAATTGCCATTTTCGTCCCAAATCTATTATCTATGCGCATGCAGAGTCCCCAAAGTTTTGATCTTTTGTAAATGTGGTCCGATGTTTTGAATTATGCATGAGTTTAGGACAACGGATGAAAAAACGGGATAGTTAACAATACAAAACAGATTGGCGTTAGTCAAAGCCATCAGGCAATATACTTTGTTCTAAACTTCTGGAATTTGAGTCAACATTGTCCCTTAAATTTCAAATAATAGACAGTATTGCATGTTTTAATATGAAGTGAGATGTGAATTAGATCAAAACTGTTTTAGCTGGAGATCAAACACATGAAAATGCTAACTACATTTCCATTTCTTCTAGTTTTATTCGTATTTTTTATTTCTTCGATGAACAATATATCTTTATTTATTTTTCTTAAATTTAGTTTTCATATTTTATTTATTTGTCTTCTTCAAATAAAAAATAAAAGCTAGTAAAAAGGACATTAGTATGAAAAAAGTTTTCATATTTCTTTGAATAAAATTCTTTTATTCTTTTTCTTATTTTTGTTGTTTTGTTCTTTACATAAGAAACAAAGAAACTACAAACAAATTGCATCAATTTTTTATTTCTATCTTGAGCAAGTTATATTCATTTCTTTCTCTTCTTCTAGTTCTTTTTTATTCTTGTTAAGAAAAATGCTAGACAAAAATTTGTGCAAAAAAAGAAGTTTTTATATGTCTTACATGAACATAATTTCTTGTTTTTTTCTTAAATTTAATTTAATTTTTATTTCTTTTTATTCTTCAAATAAAAAATAAAAACACTAAAAAATTTTGCAAAAGGGAGTTTCTAATTCTAGCACAAGCAAAATTTCTTTAGTTTTTCTCAAATTTCTTTTTCTTCTTCAAAAAAAATAAGAAAAATAAATTTAACCACCTTTTCTAAGTTTTTTACTTTTATAATTTCTAGTACATATATGAAGGAATTTCATTCTAATTTACATCTAGTTTAATCTTAAAACATTTAATGACACTATTTAAAAAGCTAAGGGGCCATATTTATCAAAAGTTCAAATACTACGGACCAAAAATTGCGAAGCCAAACTTTTTACCATGCCCA